AAAGAAGTAGAGGCCACAAAAGTCTACAGAACTGAACGGTTTAACTTGGTATAAGCATTCACGTGCGATCACCGACAAGGGATATCGCAGTCACAGCTTTTTTTTCTCTCTATGCTACTTGGACTACCTGTGCGAGTAGTGAAAATAATGCGATATTCATACCGCCGGTGTCACACAGACACTTGTGATCGCAGTCGGGGCACCTGCGCCATACTCGATGCTGTACAGCGCAGCACCGACAGAGTTGTTGCGCACGATCAAAATTTCTCGAGGAAAACCGGTATTAGTCACCGCTACACGGTCCGAATCAAATACAGTGCAGCGCGACTACATGCAGCAAGTACCCGTGTGACAGCGCTCACTAAAGCGCGTCAGAGCGCACCGTGCATTCAGAACTAACGTCCACACAGAACAGTCAGCACTCAAGCATGACCATATTCGCATGGAATATTATCACAATGATACAAACCGCCGCACAACACCGAAATAGAGGAAACGCTGACACACACATAACACAGCCAGCGGCACCTTTACATACCCGCACCACTCCAGTCAGCGCGGGCGCACCAGTAAGGACTAAAATGCCTAGGGACGTTCGCGCAATTTGGCACCTAGGCTGCGCGTGGTCATGAAAAAAGCACCTAGCGGGAGGCTGCTCTTATTAGTTCGCGCCATGGCTTGCCGTGGAGCTGCAGTCACCTGTCTAGAGTCACTACAGTGGTGCGACGGGCAGGACGGTCGGTAACAGAATGGGTCGCCAAGCCATAGCTTTTTTAGGGGGACCCGGAGCCCTGAGGCCAACAGTGTAGCCAAAGACGGACCTAAAGGGGCACAAATATTCAAGCCACACGAAGTCAGTGAGAGAAGAAATTGACGTAAGCACAAGGGCCGAGCTAAGTCACACGTAGGCTATATTAACATGCGGGGTGGCAGGAATAGGTTAAAGTGGGAAGAGAGAGAAGAGCAGTTGAGGCAGGAGGAGCTGATGGTATATGTGGTTGTGGAGACATATCTTCGGGACCTGGAGCAACCACCCTGCAATCCAGACTACGTATGGGAATATTGCAATAGAACAGAAGGCAGCAAGGGGGGTCGAATTGTTGCATTTATATATAAGAGCATGGGTTGGCAAATAGGCAAGCAAGAATGCAAGGAACATTTATGGCTGAAAGGGAAAGTGGCAGGGCAAATGACACTCCTTGGTTTCGTGTACTTGTGGACGGGAGCAAAGGCCAGAGAGGAAAACCAGGCAATGGTGGAGTGTATATCAAAGGACATTGAGGAATCAGGGGAAAAGTGTGAGATAATTATACTAGGAGATATGAATGTGCACATAGAACATATAGATGGGTATACTGACTCAACAGGCAAAATGATCATGGATATGCGTGAAAGGCATGATTTGATCATTTGCAACAGTACCGAGAAGTATGAAGGGCAAACAACATGGTAGGTAGGAAGGCTGCAGTGAATGATAGATTACGCACTGATGTCACATAGGATGTATGATAAGCTCAGGGGAATGCACATAGATGAAGGTGGCTCCAGAAGTCTGGGTAGTGATCACAAACGTATCAAGCTAAGTTTTGGAAGAGCAGTGAAAGTGGGAAGGAGACAAGATGAGGAACTACAGGAAAATTTTTATTCAGAAAGGCAAATTGAAATAGCCACTAAACAAATGGAGAAAGTAATCACTGAGGATAATAAAACAGTGTGGACATACACGAATCTAATTAGACTGTTTGAGTTAGAGCTTGCTAAGGCACGTGACAAGTATCCTCGGAAACGAAGACACAAGCCCAAGAGTTGGTGGGATGAGGAAGTTAAGAGAGCAATAGCAAAACGTCAGGAAGCCTCTAGGGAACACAGACATTCTAAGCAACGCGGTGAACCGACTGATGATGTTGAAAGAAAATGGCAAATCTTTCTTAGCTCCAGAAGGGAAGCATCCCTACTGATCAATGAAAAGATTAGAAGAAAGGATGCTCAGTGGCTGGCAGAAGTACATAAAAAGGACAGAAAGGCAGCTGCGAAATTTAGGAACCATCTAAACTCCCTAAGAAATGAAACAAACCTAGAGCAGAGGTTTATAACTACAGCTCAAGGTGCTAGGCTAGAAGGTGACGAAGCTATTGAATATATAAGAACAAGGATGACAGAAAAATTTCAACAAAAAAGTGCCTTATGCACCACAATAGACAGGGATGGATCAAGCGGCCCAATGGCTCCTTTTTCACAATGAGAGTGGGAAAGGCTGAGAAGAGGGTTCCAAGTAGTACATCAACAGGCCCAGATAGCATTCCAATTATGCTGATAAAGACATTGGGTCCGAAGTCTAAACAGACTTTGAGAGAGGCAGTCAGCGGAACAATAATCGATGGTGAAAACCCTGATGGACGGAAACTTAGCAGGATGAGCATGATCTATAAAGGAAAGGGGGACAACGATGACATAAACAACTACCGTCCTATAACAGTGACATCAGTGGTCTACAGGCTGGCGATGCAGATTATAAAGGAAAGATTGGAGGCATGGATAGAGGATGAGGGGGTGCTGGGGAACTGCCGAATGGGTTTCGGAAACATGGGAGGTTGGAGAACAATCTTATCTCACTGACGCAGTGCATCGAAATAACAGAAAAGGAACACAGGTTCATGTGGCTAGCAGTTTTAGATATCAAAGGAGCGTATGATAGCATGGTTCAAGACGTCTTGTGTGGAATACTGGACACACTAGATGTGGAAGGTGGAGTCACAAATCTTTTAAAGGAAATCTATAAAAGTAACAAGGTAGTTATAAAGTGGGAAAAACAGGTATCCAAGCTCACAGAGATGAAACGGAGACTTAGGCAGAGGTGTCCACTTTCACCCTTGTTATTCATGATGTACCTACAAGGATTAGAGGCCAAATTAGAGGGAAGTGGACTGGGCTTCAATCTCTCTTTAGTCAAACAAGGAAAACTCATTGATCAGGCACTATCAGCATTAATGTACGCAGATGATATAGTGCTAATGGCTGACAACAAGGAAGATTTGCAGAGATTAATGGACATCTGCGGTAATGAGGGAGATAGGTTAGACTTTAGATTCAGTGAGGAAAAATCAGCAGTCATGATTTTTAATGATAATGAAGGTAGTGAGCTTAGAATACAGGAGGTCACACTAGAGATAACAGATAAATACAAATATCTGGGATAAGCAATGGGACCGAGTACCTAAGGGAACACGAAATATATGTGACGACTAAAGGTAACAGGAATGCAGCAGTGATGAAAAATAGGGCACTGTGGAATTACAATAGCTATGATGTTGTAAGAGGAATATGGAAAGGGGTTATGGTTCCTGGGCTGACGTTCGGCAATGCAGTCTTGTGCATGAGATCAGAAGTTCAAGCAAGATTAGAAATTAAGACGTGGAATAGGTAGGCTTGCTTTAGGAGGTCACGGGAGTACATCAAATCAGGGAGTACAAGGTGATATAGGATGGGCATCATTTGAGGGCAGAGAAGCTAGCAGCAAGATAAAATTTGAGAAGCGATTGAGAGAAATGGGGGAAGAGCGTTGGGCTAGGAAAGTATTCAGCTACTTGTACATGAAGAATGTCGATACAAAATGGAGGAAGCGAACTAGAAAATTGACTGGTAAATACCTAGAAAACAGCAGGTGGCCAAACCAAAAAGAACTATCGGTTAAGAAGAAAGTGAAGGAAGCGGAGACTGACATGTGGAGAATTGGCATGATGAAGAAGTCTGCACTAGAGATCTATCGAACTTTTAAGCAGGAAATTGTCAAGGAAAGAATCTATGATAATACTCGGGGTAGTTCTCTACTGTTTGAGGCCAGGACGGGAGTATTGCGAACCAAGACATATCGGGCCAAATACAAAGGGGTAGACACAGTATGCAGTGCGTGTGGAGAGGAAGAAGAAACTGCCGAACACTTGATAATGTTCTGTAAAGGGCTTCACCCTATAGTACAGGATGATGGCGCGGAGTTCTTCAAAGCACTGGGGTTTAGGGACAGGAAGGGCAAAATAGACTTTAAGCGAGTAGACTTAACTAGAAGGAGGTTATCTGATTGGTGGCTAAAGTCAAGGCACGAGTGAAAATTAAACCCTTCACTACAAAGTACAAATCCTCAACCTCACTATTTAAAGGGGAAAAAAAGATAAATCTAATAGTTGGTTCAACAAGTATTACGGCTAGGTGGCGTTAGCCGCCGCCCGATCTAAAAGGTACAGCCACATCCATCCATCCATCCATCCATGGAACGATACTGAAATGTAATGTCGCCGGCCGGGAGCCGGCTTCTTGGGCTCATCGGGAAGAGCATTTCTCCGTGTTTAGCTTTTCCGCCTAAGCTGGCTCCTGCCTTTAAAAACAAACGCACAAAAAGCAAGTGTTTGAAGGTCGTTTCGAGGCCCTTGATTGGCTGTTGCCGCCATGTTGCCTGAGCTCGCTTTGCCATTGGCCCGATGCTCGATCCGGGAGCTCGTCGTCTGCTGCTTGTGCGTCGCGAGGACATGGCTCTCGAAAATTGCTACTTCGTGACATGTTCACGGCTCGATGATCACTTAAGATATAATTACGCTGTAGTTAGGAGCAGTAGGCGGATGCGCGATCAGGTTACTACGAGCGCGGCGCGTCATGGGAGTAGTCTTTAGCCCTCACTCCGCCTACAGCGAGACTGCGGGCAGGAACGACGCGCTAGCGCACTCGTAGCGAGTGCTTCGTCGCAAGCAACGAAGCTGTAAGCGGCGGCACGGTCAGATTACTAGAGTGCCCGCACCGGATGCACGATCAGATTACTACGAGCGCGGCGCGTCATCGGAGTCGGCTTTAGCCCTATCTTCGCTGACAGCGAGACTGCAGTCAGGAACGATGCGCTAGCGCAATTAAAACAACCCGCGGGTTGTTTTGGATGCGCTGGACACTTTTTACTCCTTCTTTGGCGCACATTATGACGACGTAGCAATGGACCACTTTTTCCAGTGCGAAGGGAGAGGTTTGAAGTTGTTGCATGGCAAGAGTTGGCAAAGTAACCCCCGTAGGTGGGCTTTGCGGCTGTGCCAATTTACAGACCGCCAATCCGTTCATCCTGATCATGCAGGTTTTTGCCCGCATCATCACCGACCTGCTCGTGTCTGCCTTTCTGACAGCCTCGTCTGCCACTCCGGGAAACTTCGGGCCTGCTGGCAACGGAAGTGAACCTTGCGTTTCCCTCCTGCCTGTCACCCGTGCTGCAGGACCTTCAGCAGCGCCCCCAATCCCGCTGTGGATCATCGAAAGGAATCTAGCTGCCCTATCGCCGTCGACAACATCCTATGCGCAGACTATAAAGCAGCAACCACCGTCCACCGCGCCCTGTGGGCTTCGCAGCTGTGCCAATTCACAGACCGCTAATCCGTTCATCCTGATCATGCAGGTTAGTAGCTCGTATCAAGCACTTACTAAAAAATGGAGTGATTACTTTTTGGTGCAGCTGCCAAGCCCACAGTGCTGCCTTTTACTTGTTTCTGAATGTATTGATGTCATACGCGCCTTGCCACTGCTTTCGGGGTATGTAGAGACAAACCCCGGTCCTGACAAAATCGTCCTCGAAGAACTGAGAAAGTTGTTTGCCGGCCAGGCCACTTTGATAGCCGAGATGCAGAGCCTCAAAACCCAGCTAATAAGTACAAACAACTCTATCACTAATCTAAGCACCCGTCTCGCAGACTTAGAAAAGCATTATTAAAGTCTTCTAGCTCTCCAAACAGAAGTTGACGCCTTTAATTCTAAGACCGATCAACTAACCAATCGTATGTGTGGCATTGAAGAGCGCCTTGACGACCTCGAAAACCGTTCCCGATGCAACAACTTAATATTTTACGGGTTTCCCGACACCAACCCGAAGAAAAGATATGCTCAATCGGAACAAATAATCATTAACCACTGTCTCGAAATCTTTGGTCTTACAGTCGAGACTAAAGATATAGAGCGTGCACATCGTCTAGGGCATTACAACACTAACCGAAAACGACCCATTATTGTTAAGCTTCCATCCTTCAAAACTAAAGAATCTATCTTTTCGAGCGGCCCAAAACTAAAAGGCACTAATTTCAGCGAAGATTTCACGCGTCCAGTTCGAACTGCACGAAAACATCTTGTAACCTTTGCTAGAAGCAAGTCCGTACCATTTTCATTACGCTTCAAAACCCTGCACATCGGAGCGCAGCACTATATCTTTGACAATGCAGCAGGAATTGTCAGAGCCGTATCGTAGGGATTATGTCGCCCTCAGCTAGCATGCCACGAGCCCCATACAAACGCAAGAGCAAACCTGTCATTTTCTGTACTTTATACTAACATACGTAGTCTTCCTTCCAAGCGCGCCCCCCTGTCTAATCTAGTACAATCATCCGGCAGTAGTGTACTGATACTAACAGAAACATGGCTCAGTGACGACATTTCAGATACAGAGGTACTGGCCGACTTGTCAACCTTTAACGTCTTTCGTCACGATCGTAAAAATGCACGTGGCGGAGGCGTACTCATCGCCACTAAAAAGAACTATCATGCTCTCTAATCAACACATCCTCACAACTAGAATCATTATGGGTAATATGCCGTGCCCCTCCCGAAGTAATAATACTTGGCGTATGCTGTAGGCCCCCTCGAACTGACCCAGACTACCCCCGCAAACTTAACGAAATCTTATCCCAGATAACTAATAAACACCCTAAAGCACGTATTCTGGTTTATGGAGATTTTAACTTTCCCTTCATTATTTTGGCTCAATCAGGTTTCACCAACCTCGGGAAATCCTGAAGCAAGAGAATTCGTTGATGTTTGCCTCAACTTTAACCTCATCCAACAGGTAACCGAACCAACGCGCGTCACTAGTGAATCCTCAAACATTTTAGACCTGGTACTAACAAATAGCCCCGAAAGCTTAAAATCTGTTGCATACTTACGTGAAATCAGCGATCACAAAGTCATTCATACCATATTTAACTTCACCCCAAAAATACGCCCCATTTTCCGCAAAACGATTCACTTGTATAAGGGTAAATATGAATTAATTAATCGTTAATTACGAGATTTCCTACCATACTTCGAACTCAATCTCGGTTCCTGTTCTCTCAATGACAGCTGGCTAATGCTTAAGGACAAGATAACTGACTTGACTAATAAATTTATCCCCACAGTGAGCTTTACTGCCAATAAAAATAAACCATGGTTTTCCAAAAAGTTTGAAAACACTTGAAATTAAAAAAGCGCCTCTTCAGAGCTGCGAAGTTTAATGGTAATGCGTGCGCATGGGGCAAGTACTATGCTGCGGAAGATGCTTATTATGCTGAAATTAGAAAAGCGAAACAGACATTCTATCACAATGATTTATGTAAAATTTTGAAATCTAACCCTAGATAATTCTGCGAAATCATAAACCCGCAACTAACACGAGACATTACGCTTACAAACGATAAAAATGAAGACGTAAGCGACGCTGTTTGTGCCAATATCTGCGGCGGCTGCATTTCCGATGGAGGCGGAAATGTTGTAGGCTCGTGTGCTCAGATTTGGGTGCACGTTAAAGAACCCCAGGTGGTCTAAATTTCCGGAGCCCTCCACTACGGCGTCTCTCATAATCATATAGTGGTTTTGGGACGTTAAACCCCACATATCAATCATCAATCATTGTGCCAATATCTTTAACGCCGCGTTCTCATCAGTATTCACTAAAGAAGCCAACGTACTGTTTCCTACGCCACCTACTACGACATTACCAGTGATGGCCCCTGTTGTGTTATCCGTTAGTGGCATTTCATCACTCATTGACAAATTAAAACTTTCATCATTAGCTGGCGTAGACAATATTAACTCTAAATTGTTAAAAATACTAAAGAAATTATTGCAGTGTACTTTTCGATGATGTTCTCATTGTCACTCGAAACAGGAATTTTGCCAGACGACTGGAAGGAGGGAAAGGTCATTCCAGTCCACAAATCAGGTAACAGACAGTCCCCCCTAAATTATCGACCCATCTTTCTAACAAGCGTCCCCTGCAAAATCATGGAACATGTCATATATTCACACATCATGAACTTTCTTGACACCAACAATTTTTTTCATTCTTCCCAGCACGGATATTGTAAATCAGTATCCTGTGAAACCCAACTTGCTATATTTATTCATGATATACACTCTTCTCTCGACCGTCACTTTCAGACCAGTGCAATCTTTCTCGACTTCGCAAAAGCCTTTGATAAGGTACCGCACAAACGTCTACTGTTAAAACTTTCCCAGCTGAACCTGCACGCCAACATTCTTGCATGGATCACACAATTTCTTACTAACCGCTCTCAGTTCGTCTTCATTAAAAATACCCGTTCTAGCTCCCTCCCAGTAACAACCGGCGTCCCCCCAAGGATCTGTACTCGCACCCCTCTTGTTCCTAATATATATTAATGATCTTCCTGTTCATGTATCTTCCCATATCCGTTTATTTGCCGACGACTGGGTCATCTATCGCACAGTTACTAACATTTCTGATCAACCTACACTCCAACAGGATCTGGATCTCGTGCAACAGTGGTGTGATCTTTGGTTGATGAAGCTTAACCCCTCTAAATGAAACCTCGTCTCATTTAAACGCCAGCGTAATCCTTTATCATTCTCATAACTAATCTCTAATTCCGCTATCGAACAAGTCCAGTCATATAAATACCTAGGCGGCACCTTAACATCTGACCTCTCCGGGAACACACACATCAACAACATCATATCATCCGCGAACAGATCCCTCGGTTTCCTAAAGCGTCATTTGGGTGACGCACCACTAGACATAAAACTTCTGGCTTACAAATCGCTCATCAGACCTAAACTAGAATATGCAGCGCCCATCTGGAGCCCGCACCAGATATACCTAATAAACGAAATAGAATCTGTACAAAATCGTGCCACTAGGTTCATTCACGTTTCATATTCATACGACATAAGCATATCATCCCTAAAACGTGACATTGATATTGCTAATCTTTCTGTGCGTCGCCGCATCGCCAGCCCCTGTTTGTTTCACAAGTTTTTTCACAGTTCCCTCAATCAAGCACCTTACATCATCCCACCAACGCGCATATCTCATTGCACAACCCATCCTTATTCAATCGCACGCGCACGCGCTCGCACTACTACTTTTGATGCCTCATTTTTTCTTCGCACAGCAGTGGACTGGAATGGCCTTCCCCGTGACATTGCAGCCATCACGTGTTCATCAACGTTTGCGCAAAACATAAATACATATTGTTTGTCAGAAGATCACTCTCTGTAATCTCTAATTGTTAACCCACCCCTTATGTAATACCCCCTCACCGGGGTCTTTAAGGCAATAAAGTGAAGTGAAGTGAATGAAGTATTAGCAAAAGCTCCTAAACTGGACCCGTCACTCGAAACGCTCCTTGAGTGACGTTTTCTCATTCACAAACCGCCCTTCACTTGAAACGATTCCTTCACTTGAGAAAATATCGAGCGTTTCCTTGAGATTGTCAAGGAAGCGATTGAGCTACCTTGAATCGCCCCTCGAGTGAAGTTTCTGCGCTAACATCGCGTCCATGGCGGAGCCCGTCTCGCTTTGACGGTGTTTAACGATCAATTTGGCTGCCACCGCCGCGTTCTTTCAACAGTGACGGTGCACGTTCACTACGGAGCTGTCTTGTAACGATTCGACAACGGCTGCTGTGGCGCTGGGGCAGGCGGCCGTAGTGTCAAGCGGAGCCCTTACCAGTGCCGTGATGTGTTGTGTTTCGTGCATGAGCCAGAGGATTACCTGCCTTCGGGAGTGCGTATACTCGTCGTGCGAGTGATTTCAGACTTACTGCGGACGCCAGTGCTTTCAAGTGTTTCGATGAAGCTTGCACACCACAACATTTCAAGCGTGGCGCGAAAGCTTGACAAAGAAGCTTAGAGGAAACGTAATAGCAAACTTTCGATGCGCTGCATTCACCATACTCCTGAGCGGCTTCCTCTCCAGTGAATCTTTGCTACCCTAGCCTAAATATAGGGCGAAGCACACTTTCGTTAGATGATCGTTTGTATCTACGAGAAGGTAAGTTGTCCTTTTTCTTTTTTTTGTTCATTTTCCCCCCTGCTCTGGTCAGATCACTATTAGAGACAGTTGAGGAAGAACAAAACACAATCCAATTGTGCCCAATGAGTGTGCTGTAGTTGCTACTACGCGTGAAACATGACTTCGTTATACAGTGTCTATGCAGCTCACAATGCCAATGAACAACCACACCCAGCTTTAGGGAATCAAGCAGAGGCTCGTGCTCTGTGAAACATGCACAGGCACGCAAGAATGCATGGAGTGTCGTATAAAAATGCAGACATACGAAATAGAAATACAGCAGATACATTATAAGATTGTTTTTTTTTATAATGGTTGAACCCCCCCTTCGCGAAGAGATATTGCTGGCTATGCCATTGATTCGTTCAATTAGGTTATCGAATCACATAACGATATGCCTGGTGAGCTGCCCAAGTGCCTGAGCCAAACATGTGTCAAAAAAGGCAAACTTTAATAACTCAACCATGTCTGTCCTTTACCACAAGAAATATTAATGAATGTGTGCACCACTAGAGCTTTGATGTCCTAGCTATTACGTTTTTCTAGTATTATTTCTTGCCTCTTTTGTGCAGGGGTCAGGCTGCCGACAGAAGAACACAGAGGAAAGGTCTGCTAACACATGCTGTATTAGCAATGCATTGCAGAGTTTGCACGACTGTATACAAGAGGACAAAATCTGTAGTAAATGCATGTAGCAGCACTGCATCAGACCTGCTATGGTGTCTACTACCTTGATCTTATTTATGATGTCCTACAAGCTCAAACTTTATCTTGACGGTGGGTCAGCTGCATATGCTTGATTGATGGACACTTTCCAGTTGCACTCTTGTATTTGCCACATTGCTCTTCATCGGCCACATGTAATTAAGGATCATTTTGCCATTCGCAATTTCTGCTTTGTTCATTTATTATACATAATTATCGTCACGTTTGTCTTTTCAGGAAGAGACAGGATCACTAAAACCATTTTTCCTATTCTACAGGAAAGCAGTTCTATAAAAATCAAACTTGTTTTATATACAGCAGCACCACTCCCCTTCGACGAAACTGAGATGCCATGGTTCCAATGTGCAGACATGCTAATGTTGCAACAATAGCGGATATTTTTTATTTCCATGATTTTGACCAGATGTATATGCAATGACTGCAATACTCTTGAGCATTTTTTATCACTTTGTTGCACTGTCTTTATCAAATCAGCAGAGTAAAATACTCTGCTTCTTGGTGACACTTTCTCCAATGTTCAAGAAACCCACGCGGTCGTTTTCAAGACAGAACAGCGCCAAGAGTTAGAAGCAGCTTCGATTTTATGATTTCCAAAAAAAAAAGAGATCTCCTATAAATTATGTGCACTGCCGAGGCTTTGGGATGCATCAGACACCATGATTATTTTCAAGAGGTATTCCCAGCAATAATATTCTACGAATAAAAGCCAAAACATAAGTGCAGAGGTCATTCATGCATTGACGAATGTGCATCTGAGCTTGCAGATAAAGGAGACGGGACAAAACTTTTAAGACGTTGCCGCTGTGTAAACTTGGAGACAAAAGCTGCAAAGATTTGAAGGTTACGTCTATTCAATTCTGTCTTATTGGGGCATCCACAAATGCAAAGGGAATGGAAGATAGATGGAGAAAAAAAGGACTGCTTACTCTGAGGCATTCTTGGAAGTATAAAATTTTAAATTGAAACACACACACTCACACAAACATACACTGTTAACCGACTATATATACAGACAAAATCCACAATAACGAAACCTTGCGACTATGAAATCCCTGCGGCAACGAAATATTTCCGGATCCCCGGCAAACATTTATAGAAGCCCATGTATTACGTATCTCACGGCAAAGAAATGTTTTTGGACAGCGATCCCACACTAACGAATTTTTTACCATGGTGCGGGCTTTATTTTACCCTCCCGCCAAAGCGTAACTGTCGAAAATATGCCCATATGCGTGTTATGCGCACTCAAAATTCGTAAAGGTCTGCTTTTGCAGCGCTAGCACGGGTACCGCCATTTTTGTTTACTTAAGTCGGCGATGGGGTCTGTGTCCGGCAACATGCCTGGCCACACTGCAGCAGGCGATGGCAAATGATCACGCGGGCTTCACCACCACCGTGCAATCATCACGCACGGATTGCACTTTGGCCTCAGCAGACGAAGATTTGGACGAAGGAGGAGGAGGAGGAGGAATAAATGAGGAAGGACAGGGAGAAGGCGCACTTGACGGCGAGAGTGGTGGCAGTGCAGTGCCTCTATCCCTGACCAATGCCTGGGGGGAACTTCGAGCCATCGACATTGACATCCCAGATGAACTCACCGTTGATGCCTTCGTTCGCACCGATGACGACGTAGTCGTGTACGAGGAAGTGACTGACAAGGCCATTATCGAAAGCGTGCGCGAAGCTGACGACACCGAGGACTGAGAAGAGATGCACGTGGAGAAACCTAACCTGCGGGTTGTTTTGGATGCGCTGGACACCCTTCGCTCCTTCGGCACAGATGACGACGACGTAGCAATGGACGACTTTTTCCAGTGCGAAGGGAGAGCTTTGAAGTTGTTGCATGGCAAGGGTCGGCAAAGTAAGTTGACTGACTTCTGGCAATAAATTTCCGTTCTGCTGGCCGTATCACTCGCAGCAACGAAATCCTCGCGAAAACGGAATTTTCCGGTTTCCCCGGCGATTTCGTTATTGCGGGTTTCGACTGCACTGCTAATTGAAGAAAACAATAACATTAGTTGAAGAAAGGCACACGATTGCTTTTTTTTAACTTGCGTAGCAGTCTAATTCTAATGCTCAGCCTTGAGTATACTATGCCTACTTTTTAAGACTATCCTGGTATAACCTTGAATAGCATTTGTGAGCATTGTCTTCCAAATTTCCTATTACACACAAAGGAACAACTATGAAAGTGCCACGTTGAAATTCGCAGTAAATGAGAAAAATAACGATAGCACAGTCCCATGAAATTAGGAACTGTGCACGTACAACCGCACCAAGAACGAATTTACGTACAAGTAATTCTTCCATACAATTTGGTAGTGAATTCTGAAAGCACGCTAATGTAATGTGATATATAGTAAAAATTACTAATTCCACCACGTTATCCGTTTGTTGGATACACTAGTCATCAGGAGGCTCTCAGCAAAGCGAAAGTAAACAAAGCAACAAACCATCTATTGCGCTTCCTATCATCACTCACGTAGTTCGATAGCCACCCCGGTGAAAGTAGGGTCTCAACAACACACATGCAAACACTACTGTAAACATAAACTGCAATTATTAGATGCATACGAGACGAAATAAACTAAGCAGATAGAAATGTTCAGCAGCAGATGAAACGCCAGCAGCTGTTCATTTCAGCTCCCTGGGTGAGACTGTTGCCAGACTTGAAGCGAAGGTTTCGCTAATTCTACCGGCTCAAAGCTTACGAAAAGCACGCTACCACTCTAGATGCATGCACTTTGCTGTGATGTCAGTTTCTAAAAAATAATAATTAAGAAAAGCATTCATTTATTATACAGAGATAGGTTTTTATTAACCACAATTACAAATACTCTCGTTATCAGGCACTTTTATTCGTCCATGCAGTTCACTTAGGTGAAAGGAGCATTTCCAAGGCTTAACTTGACAAAAGAAGTGTGGAGGAGCGTTCACAAAATGCAGCGGCTCCTTGAGTGGAGGAGCACGCTCCGCCTTGACTTCATCAAGTCGAGAGAAGCCCTTGAGGGAAGGAGCGTTTGTGAATACAAGGGTAAGACCCAAACACGAAATGGGCCTTGTGAGAAGCTACTAGTGAAACTGAACACATGTGTGTATGGTGTAGACGGCAGCTTCAAACAGTTGTTGAGGTAGTAAAGTTGGCGGAGACGGCTGGATAGCGGGATAAGGGTTGAACTTAGGGTTGTCAGGTGCTCGGTCCGATGACCGGGCGGGCGATGGCTAAGGAGGCTAGGAAAACCACGGGCAAGAGTGAGTGAGAATGCAAGCGCTGGTGCTACTCAGTCGAGACAGCATTCATGAATTTGACCGAGGCGTAGAGTGTGCAGGCTGTGCGAGGCAATGAAGGCGGCCGTGCTGGGCATGGAGGCTAGTATCGAGAGGCTTCAGGGGGAGCTTAGGGCGTAACGGGAGCAGAGGATAGAGCTCCAAAAACAGCTCGGAGCATCGTGTGAGCGAGAGAAGGCTGCCGCCAGCCTATTAGAGAAAATGAGGGCAACCTTTGAAAACAACGAGAAGGGCGGACCGAGCTCAAGTAGTGGGTAAAGGAGCTAATGGCACTTTGCCCAGGCCCCAAGCAGTGTGAAATGGAAGGCATGGGCAGCGGAGAAGGCGACAGACGGGAAGGAACAGGCAAGAAGGGAGGTCAAGGAGCCAGAGTGTCTGGCCACGGAAGGGAGGCTCCGAGAACATACAACTCGGTGGCAAGGCAGTCTTCGAGCAGGGCAGGAACACAGGACACACGGCAGAAAAAGAAGCGGGTGAAGCAAAGAGGGGCGCCATCGCAAACAGGAAGCCAACAATTGGAGCGAATAAGGGTCCTAGTCCTGAGGGACTCTAATAAGGCCAGGGTTAGGGATGGCATCTTCACGACAGTAAAGGAATATAGGAGAGTGAGGGTGGAGGCCCAGTCAGAGAAGTGGATGGTGGATGCACTGGTTAAAGCTCAGGAGGTTGTAGACGACAGCATGGAGGACGAAAATCTCGTCATTATTCATGCTGGGCCCAATGATGTCCTGATGAGCGAGAGTCAGAACATTCAGACACAAAGGACGGGAGGCGTAGACTCCGGACGCCTATGGAAGTAGTGTGCATGTTACCATATGCACAGTCCCAGAGGTCCGGGGGTCGTCTCGTGGGATTGAAAGGAGGGTAGTGAAGGCTAACTGTGTTATCAGGGGAGGGGTATGAGCCGGCAGCTCGGATACAGCACAATGGAGGTGAACCAAGACGTGTACAAGCCCGGCACTCGCCCCTTTTGCACAAGTTGGCATTTATTACAGCGGTGCGGCGGGCAAGAGGCTTGGTAATAGGACGGGTCGTCAAGCCCCAGTTTGAACCAATGCCCTGAGGCCAACAGTGTAGACAAAGTCGATTCTAAAGGGCCACCAATATGCAAGCCGCACGAGGTCCGCGGGAGAAAAAAAAAATCGACCTAAGTGCAAGGGAGCAAATCGACGTAAGCGTAAATCAGACAAAGGCTATATCAACAAGCAGGGCGGCAGGAAAGGTTGAAGTGAAGATGATAGAACAGTTAAGGCAGGAGGAGCTGATGGTATATGGGGTTGTGGAGACACAACTTCGGGACATCGAGCAACCACTTTGAAATCCTGACTATGTATGGGAATAGTGCAATAGAACAGAAGGCAGAAAAAGGGGAGGTGGAATTGGGGCATTTATACATAAAAGTATGTGTTGGCAAAGAGATAAGCATGGATGCATGGAACATTTATGGTTAGAAAGGAAAGTAGCTGGGCAGAATGCACTCCTTGGTTTGGTGTACTTGTGGACGGCAGCAAAGGCCAGACAGGAAAACCAGGCAATGGTGGAGTGTATATCAAAGGACATTGAGGAATTAGGAGGAGAGCGTGAGATAATTATACTAGGAGATATGAATGCGCACATAGAAGTTGGAAGACAATCTGTTCTCACTGACGCAGTGCGTCGAAATAGCAGAAAAGGAACACAGGCCCCTGTGGCTAGCATTTTTGGATATCAAGGGAGCGTACGATAGCGTGGATCAGGAGACCTTGTGGAGAATACTGGACACACTAGGTGTGGGGAATGTAGTCACTAATCGTTTAAAAGAAATATATAAAACTACCAAGGTGGGAAAAACAGGTATCCAAGCCCACAGTGGTGAAACGTGGACTTAGGCAGGCGTGCCCACTGTCACCCTTGTTATTCATGATGTACCTACAAGGATTAGAGGCCAAATTAGAGGCAAGTGGACTTGGCTTCAACCTCTCTTTAGTCAAACAAGGAAAACTCATTGATCAGGCACTACCAGCATTAATCTACGCAGAAGATATAGTGCTAATGGCTGACAACAAGGAAGATTTGCAGAGGTTGATGGACATCTGCGGTAATGAGGGAGATAAGTTAGATTTCAGATTCAGTGAGAAAAATCAGCAGTCATGATTTTTAATGATAACGAAGTTAGTGAGCTTAGAATACAGGAGTTTACACTAGAGATAACAGATAAATACAAATACCCGGGCATATGGATAAGCAACGGGACCGGGTACCTAAGGGAACACGAAATATACATAACGACTAAAGGAAACAGGAATGCAGCGGTGATGAAAAATAGGGTACTGTGCAAATACAATAGGTATGATGTTGTGAGAGAAATTCGGAAAGGTGTCATAGTTCCTGGTCTGGCTTTTGGCAATGTGTTCTTGTGCATAAGATCCGAGGTTCAAGCAAGATTTAGAAATTAAGCATTGTGGAATAGGTAAGCTTGCTTTGAGAGCTCACAGGAATACACCAAATCAGAAAATACAAGGTTATTTGGAATGATGGATATCATTCAAGGGCAGGGAAGCATCAGCAAGATAAAGTTTGAGAAGCGATTGAGAGAAATTGGAGAGAAGCAAGGGGCTAGGAAGGTTTTCAGCTGCTTGTACATGAGGAATATGTCGATACAAAATAGAGGAAACGAATTAGAAAATTTATGGGTAAATACTTAGAAAAGAGCAGGTGACAAACCAAAAAGAACTATCCGCTGAGAAGAAAGTGAAGGAAACAGAGACTGAAATGTAGAGAATTGGCATGATTAAGAAGTCCGCACTAGAGATCTATCGAACTTTTAAGCAGAAAATTGCCAAGGAAATGATCTATGATAATACTCGGGGTAGTTCTCTACTGTTTGAGGCCAAGACGGGACCATTGCGAACCAAGACTTATCACGCCAAATATGAAAGGGTGGACACGGTATGCAGTGCGTGTGGAGAGGACGCGGAAACTTCCGAACACTTGATAATGTTCTGTAAAGGGCTTTACCTTATAGTTCAGGATGATGGCGCAAAGTTTTTCAAAGCAGTGGTGTTTAGGGACAGGGAGGGCAAAATAGACTTTAAGTGGGAAGAATTAACTAGAAGAAGGTTGTACGCTGAAATCAAGGCAAGAGTACAGCCATATCAATCAATCCAAAAATCACATTACCAAATGTTATATATATATATATATATATATATATATATATATATATATATATATATATATATATATATATATATATATATATATATATACACAAGAAAGAGACGACGAAACTTTCACGGAAGCGTCTTTACTTAGCGTTTTCAGCTTGTGGACCAGCCTTCGTAAGTATGTGACAAGAGTTCATACATGGCTTTAAAAGCTCCTTTTAATAACAGGTCAGCGCCATCTGCGCTGGTTAGCATTACGATGCGCATCATAAAATGTCACGTGCTTCAGAAAAAGAAAAAAAAGGACAAAAAACTGGAAAACCAGAAAAGTACACACATACTGAAGATATGGTTGAAGATTCCCTTACATGTACTGTGACGTGATACCTAGCTTATACGTAGTTAAGAGATGTAGAAGCGCAGTGGTGTAATGACATTACATGGCAGCATAAGAACAATCTTAGTGATATGTGAACGTATAATGAAAGCCCCACTGTGAAATGATGGAAGATAAATTTTAAAAAATAAAAAGGGCAGACATAGAAGGTGTAATTTAGGCGGTACAATTTGAAACCAGTGCATCATCGCTCTTCACCTAGTGAAAGACAGGTCAGTTTTCCTTTATTTTCGTTTATTCGAGCTGAAACAGTGTTAAATTTATGAATGAGATATGATTCGCGCAGTTCACCATCATGGCTGGTGCGGAATCCCGATTCTAGTATCGTGACTTTGAGGTTACTAAGTGAGTGGCCGGGCATGTTCACATGCTTTGATAATGGAAGGTTTGGTTGGGCTTTGGCATGCGATCTGTGATTGTTGAAACGTATTCTGAATGGGGTTTCAGTGTGGCCTATCCATTGCATATGGCAGGTGCCACACTCAAGCAAATTCACTACATTGGATGAATCACAATTAAAGCTTCCCCTAATTGTGAAAATGAATTGGTTAGATGTGCTGGTGGCTGTTAATGACAGTTCTATATGAGAACAAACTTTACAACGGGGTTTGTTGAAGCGGCTACAACCAGTACGGTTAGTGGTAGCAATTTTAGATGATGTCAGCATGTCACCTATGTTTTTTGAGCGCCTATACACTACTCGAGGAGGCTCAGGAAAGACCGCTTTTAGTCTGTCGCTTTGGGTGAGGATGTTGTAGTAATTACGCAGTATACCTTGAAATTTGGGGATGGACGCTGAGTGTGTTAGTACTAAGTTGGCTGACTGAAGCCCATTGCTTTTTATGCTACCTTTTAAACAGTCCATTCGATCGCGTCGTCAATAATTTTTTCCAGGTATTTTCGCTTAAGAAGCTTCTTTTTCAGATCATGGCAGCAGGAATTGAAATCTTGATCTTCAGAGCATATGCGCCTAAAGCGCTGTGCCTGGCAATATGGAATTCCAGTCTTCCAATGGCACACGTGGCTACTTTCAAAATGAAGAAACTGGTGATTATCGGTTGGCTTTTTAAAAAGCTTCGTAATTAGGCGTCCATGGGAAATGGTTATCGTGACGTCGAGAAAGGCTACAGACAAGGGTGAGTAACTATGGGAGAATGTTATAGCGGGATGTGCCTGGTTGAATTTCGCTATAGTTTAGAAGTTCTGTTTCACCATGTGTCCAAATAAAAAATATGTCATCGATGTAGCGTTTGAAATGTTCAGGCTTTAGTGGCATACTCTTAAGAAACGAGTCTTCGAGCACTCCCATGAAGATGTTTGCGTACGTAGCGCCTATCTTTGTACCCATCGATGTTCCACTGATCTGTACGCAATGAGAGCCATTGAATTCGAAGTTATTCAACTCGAGAATGAGCTTAAGCAGTGTTTCGAGAGTTGACGTGTTAATTAGCTTGTCAGATTTGGAGTAGTCATATGAATCTAAAACAGCCTGTACACCGCCCTTGTGGGGTATGTTACTGTAGAGGGAGGTGACGTCCATCGTCACCAGAAGCGAACCATCAGGCACTGTTAGGTGTGATATTCCATTGAGAAAATCGTTGGTATCCTTAACAAAGAAAGCGAATGTGGGCAGAAGAAATTTTATCAAACTCTCAGTGTAACGAGATATGTTTTCTGTTACTGTTCGAATGCCCGAAACAATGGGACGGCCTCGATTTCCTGACTTGTGTATCTTTGGGAGCAGGTAAAATCTTCCGGCAACAGGGCTAAGCGGAATGAGGCTGCGTGCTGTCTTGATGGCGCTGACCTGTTATTGAAAGGAGCTTTTAAAGCCATGTATGAACTCTTGTCACATTACTCTGACGAAGGCTGGTCCACCAGCTGAAAACGTTAAGTAAAGACGCTTCCGTGAAAGTTTCGTCGTCTCTTTCTAGCATACAATACGTCGGGTCCAGCGTGAATGACGTTCAAAAAATCTGGTGTATATATATATATACACTAAAAAGTGGAGGACGATCAAAATGAAAACTTTTAATTTTTCCTACGTTTCAGCCAGAGACCGGCTTTCATCAGGGAAAACACGATACAAAAATGCGCTTTTCTTAAGTAGGCATGGTATATCAAGGGCCCCTGACACGTGAACTATCACTATCATACACTGATAGTGATAGTGATAGATAGTGATGTTTTGGCCTACTGTGACGTGGCGAGTAATTAACAGCAGAGAATGTCAAAGCAATGTCAAAGAAAGATTATGAGAATGCATGAACAGTGTTTACATCAAGTAGATCACATGAATAGCAGTTTGAAAAGTACAGTAATATCTACAAACAAAACTATCAAACCCATACAGCAAATCACACGCACAAAAAAAAAAGTATACCAGAAAACGTTCAAATGGAACATAATGCGTAACTAAGAATTTCATGGGGCACAAACTGAATTGATAGCACAAAGTCAAGAAATTCACTGCACCGAAAAGGTGTAGTAAAAATCTGCGTGTACAGTGATTATGAACAGACTGTGATGGAACTAGAACTTAGTTCTTCGCCGAAAGAAACGACAGTTTGCCTAACAATATATATATATATATATATATATATATATATATATATATATATATACCAAAAACAAAAGTGATGCTGGGTCCGGGAAATATTATTCGTATAGGAAAGAAGACGCACGTACGAAGTTATTTTATTGACGTTTCGGCCGTGGGTCCGGCCTTCATCCATGAAGTCCGGACATGAAGGCCGGACCCACGGCCGAAACGTCAATAAAATAACTTCGTACGTGCGTCTTCTTTCCTATACGAATATATATATATATATATATATATATATATATATATATATATATATATATATATATATATATATATATATATATATATATATATATATATATATATCGACCACGCACTATAAACAGCTAGCTATAAGGAGCGTATTGCGCCGTCTGATCGTTTCTGTTCTGAATTATTTTTTTATTCTTTTGTTTGCGCCTTCTTTCTTGCTTAGGCATGCATCAAAATGCAAGCTCTCCAGGGCGGGTGATGTGCTGCTTTGGTCAAGCGTGGTGTTGTTTTACGTGTTTTGGCCTTATTTATATTTCACCTGGTATCGCTGCTGCGTCCAGAGCAGCAGCCCGAAGGGCACGGAGGCACCGGTCATCGCGTGCGTGGAGGGCATGCCGAACTCGGCCGCGTAGGCCCGGTCCAGCTGGACGACCGGCGGGGAGGCGGGCCGGGGCCAGCGCAACAGGTCCTTGGTCAGCCCGCCGCAGTACATCACCAGCGCCCACACGAGCAGCACGCGCCGGCACACCACGGCGTCCCAGTTCCACAGGATGAACGGGAAGAACGTCGCGTAGAATGCCTCGTAACCCAACAGCGATCCGAAGCGGAACACGTAATACCACACGGGCAGCTCGACGCGGCAGGGCACTGAGGCGTGACCCACCACCGCCGCACTTGTGTAGCCGTTGCGTTGCACGCCGTTGGGCACGGAGTCGTTTTTCGGCGCCGACAACCGGTAAACGCCGAAATAGTTTTGAACACGCTCCACGAGGAACGGGCTATTCAGGGCCGAGGAACGGCAGCGTTTCAGGGGTTCGTCCCACATGACAACGCAGCGGGGCCGATCAGCTGCGCCGGGAACAACGAGCGGCCAGTGTCGCCGACGACAACGCGCGGCCGCGCCACAGAGCACCTAGGCGTGGCCACCTTCCAGATTAGAGAACGGAAACTGTACCTTTGGACTGTTGCATCAAAATAACATGCAAATACGTAGCGGCGGCGTACTAAACTGCATTACCGCGAGGCGAGATAGCGCTAGTAGTACTATCATCATCAATAAACAGACGCATATTTTTTGTTTTTTGCCACGACCGGCTTTATAAATGATGATGGATGGTAGCGCAGACAACGAACACGGACAAGAGAAGGCACATAGACACAACACAGCGCTAACTTTCAACAACAGTTTATTACACGCAGATCTCCGTGGTGTATGCGATCCACCACGGCAACGTCGCACGTGCGTAGCTCTAAAAACCATCAAATATAACCAACGCGCGTGTTCCAATACTTTACAATTTTATATTTTTCAATCTTTTTTTTTACTTTTTCTTTCTTCCTTTTATCCCATGTTACCACAAACCCTATCGCGAATACATGTAATCAAGTTCCTTATCTGTCAACACCACTGATGGGCTGCTCACACACGTGTCACCTAGCTCTGCAATTCTGCCGGCCTCCAATACCAACCGCGTCTTGGTATTGGAGGCCGGCAGAATTGCAGAGCTAGGTGACACGTGTGTGAGCAGCCCATCAGTGGTGTTGACAGATAAGGAACTTGATTACATGTATTCGCGATAGGGTTTGTGGTAACATGGGATAAAAGGAAGAAAGAAAAAGTAAAAAAAAAGATTGAAAAATATAAAATTGTAAAGTATTGGAACACGCGCGTTGGTTATATTTGATGGTTTTTAGAGCTACGCACGTGCGACGTTGGCGTGGTGGATCGCATACACCACGGAGATCTGCGTGTAATAAACTGTTGTTGAAAGTTAGCGCTGTGTTGTGTCTATGTGCCTTCTCTTGTCCGTGTTCGTTGTCTGCGCTACCATCCATCATCATGCAACCATACCAACAAGCCCAATTCGCCACCCTCATCGGCTTTATAAATTTGTAAAGCCGGTCGTGTTTTTTGCTGCAAGTGGAAAAGCCCGCGGCTGGTTCGCGCTGCTCCACGGAGGAAGGAAAAAGGTAAGGAGAGGGCGTGCCCAGCCGGCGCAGGGCGTAAAAAATGTGGCGGAAATGACATCACGATAGCCATATTCAGTAGGCACAATGGCGGCGTTGTTATGGTTACGTGTTGCGCAGTGAAGCTGGTCTAGCAGTGAGCGGCCGCGGCTGGCGGCGGAATGTGTGCCTCCCCAGGTCTCGTTCTGAGCCGTGGCGGACAATATCTGTGCTCTGCGCCGCGTTATTGGTTACGCAGTGTTCGTCTGGCTGTTACATTACTCTTAGCAACGTTTACAAATCTCTTTGTCCATCACGGGGTTTCAACAGTGCGTAGAACAAGTGCATATCCATGTGTCGTGCGGCGGATGACGCGGATGAAGCAGTTAGTGTTCAGCGAAATGGCGTTGGGCACCATGACGAAGCTGAATGATGACGAACGCCTTGCAGGTCAGTGACGGTTGAGCAGTGCTCCTGCTTGTGACAACGGACGACGCTGTTGAGCCCAGCAAGACGCCGTGAGGACCATGTGCACATACGTAGTTTCGTGTTGTGTGTGTACAGTAACAACTTGCATGTGCGTATTAAAACACCTTTTCTGTTCCGCTAGGTACACTCTCCACCCGCATTGCATGTAATCTCAACGTAACAGCAACCACGTTTAACTGTCACTAGCACCGTGTTCAAAGTCACCACGGCCGCAGAATGCTGACGCAGGTGAGTTTCACGCGGAACACGGACACAGTGGCAGGACGCTGCGTCAGTCGCGTGGCGGAATGCAACCGTAGAAGGCGCACGACCGATCGTGTTGTCTGTACAGTTGCTGAATTAATGACGTGAAAGCACTCGCCGCTGTCAGTGCATCTAGCGCGAGTTCTTTCGTAGTTGCTTCGTTGTCAGCGAGCTGTTACACTTTGTTATTACTCGGACGAAGCGATTTCGCTGAAGGTGTCCCGCTGGCTCTGAGTGATGAGCCCAGTTCCATTAGTTTCGGATCGTCACGACGCACGCGCTGCGCAGCCCACGTGCTTTCGAGCCGGAGAGGGAGTCGCGCCTTCTGCTTCGCATTCATATGTAAACAAGAGAGGAGAATTTGCCTACTCAATATGGCCGACTTCCGGCTTCATCGCGGCTTCACAACGAGTGACGTCAGGGCCTCTCCTTACCTTTTCCTTCCTCCGTGGCGCTGCTCGCTTCCTCTGTTTTTTTTTTTTTTTTTTTTCGTTGCCCAATCGCGTTTCGCGCCTGTAATTATCGCTAGGGGACCTAGCTGGCCTCGACTGGGAAAAACAACGTCAATCAAGTAAGGTTTGCATCGTTTATTGGGAGTGTTCAAGCCGGTACAATCAATGTATACGGTCGGGTCCGAACAAAACAAGTCACTCATACATATCGAAAGCTTTCAACCCATGTGTAAAGACTCTTGAAAGCTAACAAGCATATGCATATAACCGAACATCGAAATCGCTGAATGAACGTCGCTCTCATTGTGTTGCGGCGCTCGAACAAGGGTCCGATCCTGCCGTCAGATGCAGCGCTTGCCCCGTAGTGTTGATCTTGAAGCGAATGCATGATGTGGAATCGGGAAGGAAACTTGCACATTGCCGATAGATAGCTCGCGCAGTTAGAGCAATTTAGTTTTGCTAAATTTGTTAAATAAGCAATTGCGGATGCGTGCATTTCTGAATCTTTCTCACTCTGCGATGCTACATTGAGTACTTCACAATTCTGCAATGTCGCGTCGTGTCGAGAGCGTAGGCACTAGTTTTAATACTCAGCCGTGAGCCCATATCATAGGTATTATGTATTTAGGGGATGGGCCTAAAAATATTTCAGGCTTGCTACATTTATTGCTAGAGTTAAGTTACAAAGTTACCACAGCTAGAATTTCTCGTCGCAGGTAATGACCAGTCTGCTGAGTATGCAACGGACATGTATGCTAAAGGGACACTTATGAGGTGTGTGCTTACAGATCTAAGAGGCCCAATTCTAAGAAAATAAGCTTCAGGTATGCATTGTACAATTTTGTAAATCTTTGTTGGTACTCTTACATCACACTATCTGCTCAGCCCTGAGCACAATCTCTTTTTTTGCATAGACATATCCATAGAACTTCAGTACTCTCTTACAAGCAAGCACTCCTGAAATCAATTGGTGGTACATGATGTGAATCTGTCCGAATACTGGATCAATAAAGGTCACATTTATTACACACTTGTTATTGTGTTCACTTTTTCAGTATACTTGTGGTTGAAAATGACGTTTTCTCCCTGCTACTTTTAGAGGTTAAGACTTGAAATACCTACTATCTTGCAGTGTGGCTGTAGATAAGTGAAGATCATGTATGTTTCAACTACCTGTGCGATTTCCTAGATTTTTTTTTTTCATGACCCTAGTGCACATAATTTCACTTCGTAGTGGTAGACACTATAGTTATGACAACAGAAGCAGATGTGCACAAAGTAATCTCGAACGTTTTTCTGCCCCCCCCCAAAAAAAACAGTACCACATGCAATGAACACAATCTTGCTCCTCATGACAGCATTCACGTCTTTGAGGGAGCTGTGCTGCAACTGCTCATCACCTTTATGATTTATTATTTTAGGAGCCCATTGAACATATGTGCAAAGCTAAAGATGTGTAAAGCTAAAGCAATTGAGTGCAGTCTTCAGAGCTTTGGTGCATCTTTTTGCAAACTTGTATGAGCTAAACACAGTTAATTAAGACAAAACAGTTCTGGATGTTGTTGGTAAACTGTCACAAGGCACAACTAAATGTCGGAAAGCCTGTTAATGCCCATCACTGTGGGTGTGTTCATTATGTAGTGCAATTAATAATTTTCGATGATTCACCTGCCAACTATGAAGTGATCGTGAGTCGTACAGTAGTGGGCAAATTTAGATTGATTCTGGCTTCCAGGGGTTCAAACAAATGACATTGTAGCCTCACAGGAGACAAGAATGCTTGTCGAAACATTTGCTTTGACCCCTTATGTTAACATATTTTTGATATTTTCAAGCTTCCATCTTTTAAGGGCCAGTTTAGTTCACTTGCACCAATCCGAACTGGTTCACAGCTGTGCACGAGAAGTTCAGAACTTGTGTGGCAGGAGTTCAGCGGTGCGGCATCAGAAGTGAATGACAAGGTGCTGACGAGGTGGAATCCTTATTTTTGTTCGCTTAATTTAATGAGGTACAAACATCTTGGCAAAACACGCCGCATTTATAGAGGTCTGTACAGCACCTACATCTAATGCTATGTTGTTTGTTAAGCTGCGCGAGCGGCTGCACCAAACCAGCGCCATCAGAGCAGAAGGTACAGGAAAGTCATGAAATAGTTTTGGTGCTGTACCTCTCCTGCGCTTTTTGAAATGAATGGCAAGATTTAGAAGATGTCATTGCTGCACCACTGAAACGAACGGCAAGGTGCAGCACTTTGTAAAATGGATCATGTGGTGCAGGCGAATAGAACAAACCTTTAAACACAAAAGCGTCTTAGCGTTTCACCCCCATCGAAATATGGCTACAGTGGCTGGGATCAAACAGTGTGTTGTTGAGCTCAGCAGCACCACACAATCTAACTAATAGTGTTACAGTTTCAACATTATTGAAGTGTAGATTCCATGCCACGGTAGGCAGGCAATGCTTGCAGCCAATCTAAAGCACCTCTCCACGATATGTACGGTAAAACATTCACAAATACAGCATTACATGTGTGAGGTTAGAGATGACCTGTTGTAGTGGACATTCAGATGTTTAAACATGCTTGCAGAGTGGACATTCGGGGGTAGTCATCCTGTCATTGCATGGCAGTCTGAAAAAACAAGTAACATCACCAGATAGTGCATGCAATCAAGGCATAAAATTTTCCAAAGTAAACAAATAAACTCAGTTAATTAGTAAACAGCAGTATTTTATACATATATGTAGTGGTACCTCATAACACGTATATCACTCAGGGCAGCTTCTTTACAAGGCGTGTCATGTAGCAGGT